CTAAACTTTGGTATTACTTTGGTATTACTTTGGTATTACTTTCGTCCTACTGTCGGACAAAGTAGGAAACGATCGTCGAAGGTAGAGGCGAATAGCCAAAAATATGATAGTTCCGATAGGTAAACGTTTCCCATGGAACGGAAAGTCGTTCAGGGATGGGCACAGGCCGTCAGGTAATGGAAGATGTGATAATTTAGTATGCACGGTGGAGTTTATTTGAATTTTATTGGTGGGCTCGGATGTCACGTGATGCCATGGCGCAGAAGTGGTGGCCATGCCACAGGGGGTCCCTCTTTTCGCTTTATCGGATCGGGGGGAGAGATGACGCTCCTCCCGTTTTCCCGTTTCCCCGAGGGGACACTTCCGTCCGACCAATATCGTTCCTCTCGCTCTTTCTCCTCCTCAAAACCTCCGCTCTTCTCCTTCTTCTTCATGATTCTCTCGCTCTCTCTCCTGGGCCACTTCCAATATCTTTCGAAATTCTCCAAGCCAGCCATGAATAAACTATTTCCCGACTTTGAATATCTTAGCGTTTTACGCGGAAATGGGACCACCGTTGGAGGGATCGGCTACAAAAAAAGAAGAAAACGAGAAAAAGAGGGACAGAGAGCTAGAGGATGATATCGATTTGATCGACGCCGACCACGGGAATATTCTTCACCTTTTTACACTATTGTATTTTTCCTCTCTCCCTCCCCCACTCTCTCACTCTCTCTCTCTCTTTCTAATTCCCTACACGAACAAAAGAATTTCTTTCTCTTTTATTATTACCATCAACCGAGCTGAAATGTTTCTCGTTGAGTTCGCTGAGATTGTATAAAACCATTTGGCCCCTATCAATGATAAAAGACAACTCGAAACAAGATGAGCATATATATGAATCATAGAAAGATAGACTATTTCAATGGATGATTCAACCGATCATTTCTATCTAATCCTCGAATGATTCGACGAAATGATGAATCTCTATGTTATAATCGCACTTTATCATTAAATTTTCATCTAATTTACTGGCGAATCTTTCGAAATAATTGTCGCCGGTAACAAAGGCGATTAATTTTTCCGACGACGACGACGGCGGCGGCGATGAAATCAGACAGTCAACGTAATGAGTAGCATCGTCTGCCACACAATTCATCGGATGTCGCAAAAGGTGCGAGGAAGGGTGCTGGAGAAGGACCGTCGTGGTTATTAATATTCAGAACGAGGAGTTGGAGCAGGAGCTCGAGCTCAACAACAGGAACCTAAGAGCAGCAGTGCCGAGTGACAAATACCTCGCGCCCCGTCCCAACCCCGGAACGACTCCAGTCTGTAATTAACGCTAATCTCCAGGTCGTTTCTACGACATCGTACCACCCACTTCGTCTTTGCCATCGTACGTCTTTGTACTTACCAAAGAACTGACGACGGTAGCTTAAATGGACTCTCCGCGTTAGTCGATCCTTTTCTCGGCAGACAGATGTTAACGTTCCTACGAACGATACTGTCGATTGTATTTAAACCTTACTCTTTATATGTCTCATTTCGAATAAACTTATTATTTTTCTATTTCTGTATTTACTGTCAAGTACGATTCAAATATAATGTATTTAAATAATTGAAGAAAATTCGTTAAAGAAACAAAAGATCAAAATGTTCGTTGTCGAATAGGTTTGCTAATATTACCGTCGCTATTACCGTCATTCGTTTACAAAAATTCCACATTTGAGTTTGTATAACTAACGCCTTAATATGATATTGTATATTACATCTTATTACGGTAGCGATGGAAATTAGTTTCTAAAACAAACTCAAGAAGCATCGAAATGAATGAGCTCCGAAGAAACGTGATCAATCGAGTTGTAGCTCTTTTACGATTTCTACAAATTTCTTTCGTACAAAGGTAGAGAAAAGAAAAGTAGGAAGACTCGGTCGTAGGGAGGTCAAGAAAGATTCCTTCGCCATGGTATGGACAAGGACATGGTGAACTAAAGTAGCGAGCCAGCCGACCGCGAATATCCTTGATTAAACGCAAAAAAAGAAGAAGATACATGGAGCGACGGTAGTCTTGCGCACAAAACCACTTCCGTCGCTTTTTTCGCCATCTTCGCCATCTTCGCAGCGGTCGAGTTTAAACGTGGAATTGGATTAGCCGACTATCTCTCTCGCTTTTTACCTCTCATATTTCCGCTCTAATTCGGCTAGCAAAACGCATTGATAGTCTCAAAGTCTTAGGTAGAGAATTTGTCCACTTGCAAATAATTCATTGACTGTGTGAAAATTTATCGGCGTACGTGCAAAGAGTTCGCTTATAACTGGATACCAGAAAGGTTCTTACAAATAGCTGATAATATTCGCCTGTTCATGAAAAGGCGGCTGAAAGGAGGAGGATCACGTATTAGGAGAGAAAAGGGATTGTTGTTCGAGGGGCAAATGCCTGATAATCGCGTGGATGACGCCGTTCGAAACAATGCGCTTGACGTCGCGTTACTTCGGCACGAGGTTCGCTGTAGCGGGAGGGTTGATGTCAGAGCGAAGTGATGTATAGTCAGAGCGAGCACGGGAAATGCCACGTGCCCCACCCCCGCCACCTACCATACAAACTCTCCCATAAGTATTAGGGTGCGACTCGCTACATTCGCCTACGCACTACTGCCCTATGCAATTGGATTCCTTTAGTTGTCGGTGGTGGCGGCGGCGGCGGCGGCGGCGCGATCTCTCGCACACAAACGCACACAAACGAACACAAATGCGCACGCGTACACTTTCTCTTTTTCTCTTATTTTCTCCCATCTTCAACCCTTAAACGCCGAACTAAAGCGATCAATGATCGCTTCAATTCGTATTCCAAGACATACGGATTCGATTAGCTTCTGACACAGCGGTTAACGAAAGATTCACCTTTGACATATTGCTCGATACGATTAAATATACTTCTTAATAGATTAGGATGTCCGTAGTTAAACGTACAACAATATTAATCTGTATAAATTTAACATCAGCGAAGATCCAAAAATGTCTAAGGATGATGTTGGAGAGTTTTCACTCGTTTAATGAATACATCGAAAAAGATCGCTCCCTATTCATTCCTACTATTTTCAAATCTATTTTTGAGAAGAGAAAATTGTACAAAAAGTTTAAATAACATAAAAAAGGGTAGAACAAAACTTGTCCAAGCAGCTCCCTATAGCTCTCTACAGTTGTTGATGTTTCCAATATAATTAACCGACGTCGATAAGTAGGATCACCGTCTTATCGGCTGCGGAACGAACAAGGTATAATAAGTGTTATGCAATTTGACCGCATTTTTAGTTTAACCTGGCGCTATTACAGGTTCAAAAATTATCATCCCAAGACTTTAAGGCACAAAGTGTCATTTAATATAACAAAACATGGCGATTGTACGATATCTCTGGTTCGTAAATATTTCTTTTTTAACAGTAATATTATGCGGTAATGGAGAAAAATCGTACCACGCCGTGGTAGTAATCCACGGGGTACTTACTGGCAGTGATAGCATGGAACTTATCAGTAACAGAATAGAAGAAGTAAGTTGTACAAAACAATAATATCTATATAGATGTCGCTAATGTACTATGTTGATTATCATGCAAAAATGATAGCTTAACCAGGAACAGCTGTTTTTAACATTATACAATGTTTCAAAACTTTTCATCGCGCACTCATTAAAATCATCTCTCAATTGAACTCAATTGGAATCAATAATATTTTCATATTATACAAATCACAATAAAATTAAACGTTATTATACATATATATATATATATTTTTTTTTTTAGATGCATCCTGGAAGTCAGGTTTATAATACTATTAGATTTGCTGGTTGGGAAAGCTTGAAACCTATGTGGCGTCAAGTAGAAGAAATAGGAATGGATGTTATATCTATAGGTGCAGCTTTTCCCGAAGGAATTAATTTGATAGGCTATAGTCAGGGAGGTTTACTTGCTAGAGCTATTTTACAGAGATTTCCTGAACATAATGTAAGGAATTTTATATCATTAAGTTCGCCTCAAGCAGGACAGTATGGAAGTAAGACCAATTATAATATATTATAAGTATCTTAGTTATAATAATTATCTATTGAGATATCAATTTCAAATTTTTATCTAGCTCGTTTTCTACATTTATTCTTTCCAAACTTGGTATGCGAAACGGCCTATGAATTGTTTTATTCTAAAGTTGGACAGCTCACAAGCGTAGGGAACTACTGGAACGATCCGCACCACCAGGTTTACTATCTCTCTTTCATTTTCAACGTTATACGTATATGGTATGTAGATTTGATCTAATCAAGATTGTTACTATCGCATTAGGAATTATACTTCAAGTACAGCAAATTTTTGCCATATGTGAATAATGAGGAAACCAATAAAATTGTTTTCAAATCGGGTCTTGCAAAGTTAAACCGTATGATACTCATTGGCGGTCCGGATGATGGTGTAATTACTCCTTGGCAAAGCAGTCAATTTGGATACTATGATCAAAATGAAACGGTCGTAGAATTGCGCGATAGATCTATTTATCAGGATGATCTGATTGGTCTTCAAACTCTAGACAAAGAGGGAAAATTGGATATTATTACTGTCCCAGGAATACCTCATTATGAATGGCACAAAAATATCTCGATAATAGATGAATTTTTACTGCCATATTTAGATTAAAGAAAATATCGTTAATCAAGTTAAATTAATAGCTGTAATAATTCTTAATCACTATTAAATGATGTATATTTATATTTCTCAAAGAACTAATTACACTTTTTACAAGTTTGCATTTATTCCTGTTTTAAGGAAAAAGAATAATAAAAACGATTTAACTTAACGACCTCTAATCATCTTCCCGTAAAGGGTATCATTTTTAGCTCCATGATTGATTCATTGTGTTCACTTATATTCTTTGTATATATCATCTATCTAGTACATCATTTTTCAAACACTTTATTACAATATTAGTGAAAATTATTTCTTATATATAT